TAAAAGAAAAGTATAACGAGCGATTTAAAAGAAAAGTATAACGAGCGATTTAAGTGAAAAGTATAACGAGCGATTTAAAAGGAAAGTATAACGAGCGATTAAAAGAAAATATAACGAGCGATTTAAAAGAAAAGTATAACGAGCGATTTAAAAGAAAATATAACGAGCGATTTAAAAGGAAAGTATAACGAGCGATTTAAAAGGAAAGTATAACGAGCGATTTAAAAGGAAAGTATAACGAGCGATTTAAAAGAAAATATAACGAGCGATTTAAAAGAAAGTATAACGAGCGATTTAAAAGAAAAGTATAACGAGCGATTTAAAAGGAAAGTATAACGAGCGATTTAAAAGAAAGTATAACGAGCGATTTAAAAGAAAGTAATAACGAGCGATTTAAAAGAAAAGTATAACGAGCGATTTAAAAGAAAAGTATAACGAGCGATTTAAAAGGAAAGTATAACGAGCGATTTAAAAGGAAGTATATACGAGCGATTTAAAAGGAAATATAACGAGCGATTTAAAAGGAAAGTATAACGAGCGATTTAAAAGGAAAGTATAACGAGCGATTTAAAAAGGAAAGTATAACGAGCGATTTAAAAGGAAAGTATAACGAGCGATTTAAAAGGAAATATAACGAGCGATTTAAAAGGAAAGTATAACGAGCGATTTAAAAGAAAAGTATAACGAGCGATTTAAAAGAAAAGTATAACGAGCGATTTAAAAGAAAAGTATAACGAGCGATTTAAAAGAAAGTATAACGAGCGATTTAAAAGAAAAGTATAACGAGAGATTTAAAAGAAAAGTATAACGAGCGATTTAAAAGAAAATATAACGAGCGATTTAAAAGAAAATATAACGAGCGATTTAAAAGAAAAGTATAACGAGCGATTTAAAAGAAAAGTATAAACGAGCGATTTAAAAGAAAAGTATAAGCGAGCGATTTGAAAGAAAAGTATAACGAGCGATTTAAAAGAAAAGTATAACGAGCGATTTAAAAGAAAAGTATAACGAGCGATTTAAAAGAAAAGTATAACGAGCGATTTAAAAGAAAAGTATAACGAGCGATTTAAAAGAAAAGTATAACGAGCGATTTAAAAGAAAAGTATAACGAGCGATTTAAAAGAAAAGTATAACGAGCGATTTAAAAGAAAAGTATAACGAGCGATTTAAAAGAAAAGTATAACGAGCGATTTAAAAGAAAAGTATAACGAGCGATTTAAAAGGAAAGTATAACGAGCGATTTAAAAAGAAAGTATAACGAGCGATTTAAAAGAAACGTATAACTCTCTCCGCGAGTGTGTGCGCGCGCATTTTTTAATTTTTTTTAATTTTTTATCACTTCCGTTGCTTAAGAACTTGCTTTTCGTTTAAAGACTATTTGTGGAAAATTTGGAACCGAAATTGAATGAAATGAGATTAAGGTATGTGAGTAAGATAAATTTCAGCAAGTAATGTGCTTCATAGTTTTTCATTTTTCAATAAATTGGAAGAAATCTGAACAATTCATAAGTATAATAATGTAATCTAATTCCCAATATAAAATTTGGTTGAAAAACGGCGGTGCCTATATTTCAATTGTTTTATTTATCTATTATTCCTTATTACTGAGGACACCAAGGCACATGCAATTCCGTGATACAAAGTATGTCTATGTATTTTTTTCTTCTATATAAATTAAATTACATCACAGCAAGGACAATCTATCTAAAATAGTGTATACTAATTAGTGAATTTATCTTTTACGACACTGTATTCGAAAAAAATAGGGCAATGGACACTGATATTGAGCATGTATCTAATTAAAAAGATCATGTTTCTCTCTCTCTCTTTTTTTTTAAATCTTGCCTTTTCATAAATATTTCATACTACCAATAAGTTTTTTTTTTGAATTTTTTATTTATGAATATCCAGTTTATGCATAAGCATGTCTATCTTTATATATATATATATTATATATATATTATATTATATATATATATATATATATATATATATATATATATATGTGTGTGTGTGTGTGTGTGTGTGTGTGTGTGTGTGTGAGTGTGTGTGTGTGTGTGTATGTGTGTTATTATATGTGTGTGTGTAGGTGTGTGTTATTGATATATATGTATATATATCTATTATATATAATTAATTCTGTCGTTTTTGTGTATATTTGATGTTTTATGAGATTTTTCTTTATTATTCATCATTTTTCTTGTATTTCATCATAAATCTGTTTTCTCTCCGTATAGTATCCTTATATTCTAAACTAGATGAAGTATATCACTGACTAGTGCAATTCATTTAAGCATTGCAGGAATATCATATATATAGTATTATAAAAGCAATATCGTATCTCTTTCTCTCTCTGTAAGCGAGATGAATTTCAGCAAGTGATGATTGTGCTTCACAGTATTTGATTTCTAATATTTTGTTTGGAACAAATTTTAATGAGAAGGTATAATAATGTTATCTAATATCAATAGCTAAAATTTATTTGCAGATCAATATCCCCTGACATGGTCTGTTTTTATTTATTTATTATTCCCTAGTACTGAGGACTCCAAGGCAAATGGAATTCCGTGATACAAAGTGTATCTATGTTTTTTTCTTCTATAAAAATTAAATCATATCAAGGACAATTTATATGATATGTATACTAAATTTTTGAATTTATTTTATACGACATTGTATTAATTTAAAAGATTGTTACTCTTTCTTTTTACATTTTATCTTTATTTTTTTTCAAATCTCATCTTTTCACAAATGTTTCATACTCCCAACTACTTTTCTTGATATTTTAAAATGAATATCCAGTTTATAATATATTGTACAAATCATTCTTTTTCTTTAAGACTAGCCCAATTAAAGACATGTATAAGCGTGTGTGTACTATTATAATAATAATAGTGATAATAGTAATAAAAATATTAATAGTAATAATAATGATAATAATGATAATAATAATAATGATGATAATATAATAATAATGATATATAATAATAATAATATAATAATAATAAAGATAATAATGAGAATAATAATAATAATAATAAAGATAATAATGATAATAATAATAATAATAATAATAATAATAATAATAATAATAATAAATATATAATAATAATAATAATAACAGTTTCTCACCCTCTACTCCCCCCCCTCTCCTCCACGCCCACCCCAGGCCTGCGCAGTGAGAGCGCCGCCACCACACCCTCACCGCCCAATCCAGGTGTTCGTGACCGCCCCTGCACTTGACCACGCCCACCCCCTCCTCCGGGTGGGTATCTACTCCCCTGGGGTGGTTTGGTATTGTATGTGTAGGCGTGAATCTCCTGTGTAAATCATTTTTTTTAAATTGGTTTGGTATTATTTGTCTGGTATTGTATGTGTAGGCGTGAATCTCCCAAAGTATTTTTTCAATTGGTTTGGTATTATTTGTTTGTGGTGAAGTTATTTCTGTTATTATTATTATTATCATTGTTGGTGTCATTTTCATTATCTTTATTATTATCATTATTTATCATCACTGTTTTTGTTATTATCATCAATATCATTATTATCATTATATCATTATATTATTATTATTATCATTATCATCACTGTTTTTGTTATTATCATCAATATCATTATTATCATTACTATTATTATTATTATTATCATTATCATCATTGTTATCATTATCATTATTATTGTTATTATCATCGTCGTTGTTAAGATCATTATTATTATCAGTGTCAGTATCATCATCATCATTATTATTATCATTATTATTACCATCATCATCATCACCATCATTATCATCGTCTTTATAAATTATAATCATCATTCTCAGAATCATTAACATCATCAAAATCGTTATAACTATCATCATTATCATCATCGTTATCGCAGTTATTATCATCATTATATCTTTTACAGTAATTATTATGATATCATTATATTTACTATAATCATTATCATTATCATTTTTTATTATAGGCATAATTCACCATTACATTATCATCATCTTTTTTACAAATATTATCATTTCGGTATTATGAATATCACAAAATTACTCTTACTTATCTTATCAATAGCTAAAATTACCTTAACTACCCTTAATTAACAGAATTCCCCTTGCATCTTTTTCAATACTATCTATCACCATAACAACATTATTGTAAGTAAAAAAAAAAAAAAAAAAAAAAAAAAAAGTTGGTTCTCAACATTAGCGAACATCATCATACTATTTTTCTCAACATTAGCTAAGGTTATTGTGATTATTATGATCTATCTATCTTCTAATAATAGCAATAGTGATAACGACGATGATGATAATAAAGATAATGATAATAATAATAACAATAATAATAATGAAAATAATAATAATAATATCTATCTTCTAATAATACAGTAAATGATACAACGATGATATTAATAACGATAATAATAATAATGATGATAATAATGATAATGATAATAATAATAATAATGCTAATAATAATAATAATAATAAAATAATAACATCTAGCTATTTTCTAATAATAACAATAATGATAACGACGATAATGATAATAATGGTAATAATAATGATAATAATAATAATAATAATATAATAATAATAATAATATAATATAATAATAACATAATAATGATAATAATGATAATAATAATAATAATATAATCATATGATAATGATAATAATAATAATAATAATAATAATAATAATAATAATAATATACAATGATAAGGATAATAATAATAATAATAATAATAATAATAATAATGAATATATGATAATGATAATGATAATATAATGATAATGATAATAATAATAATAATAACAATAACGATAAATAATAACAATGATGATAACGATGATAATAATGGTAGTAACGATAATGATAATAATTGGAACTTGCACGATTCCCACCCGCCAGCTGGTCCAAGAACTCGAGAATGTGAGATTCCATTGGTTGGACCTTGACCGGCTGTTTGGTCCCGGACCGCTGGATAACTGGCATCGAGACCGA